TGGGGAGATGTTCTGAGGTTTCTTTTTAAACTGTCCTTATGCATGTGTAGTTTTGTGTATTTTGCAGGGTGTTTTAACGTACAGCATGGGTTTTAAGGGTCAGCTTAACCATTTCATTAACTCAGCCTATGCCTTTAGGCACTCTACACTGTGCTTGATTCCCTTGAAACTTAGAGCTGTGTATACCCTGGAAGAAATCAGTATATGTTCTTGGTGTCAACTTCTAATGAGGCACCATATGGAAAATTGCTGAGACACTGTGTGGAGAAGAGAGGGCAGGAAATAAGTGTCTACCTGATGCTCACAGAAAGCCCATTTTGCAGGCTTTCTGAGTAGAAGCTAAATGAGGAGGGATAATTTGATATAGTGTTTCTGCTGTGTTTTAGATGCAAGATCCCAATCAGACAATAGTGATTTTATGCATACAACTGCACACAGTTGAATTGGATTCTAAATTTTGCAAAACAGTGAAGTTTCTATCTTCCCTCAGTGATGAAAAAACCATGAAATCTAGTCTTTGCAGCTCCAATGGCAGCAGCCTTTTATAAATTGCACTCATTTTTTACTTCGAAAAAGAACAGCAGCCTGCAGAGATCTATTATTGCTTTGTCACATAATTTCAGAGCTGTAAAAACTGAAACCAGAGCTAAAGAAAATATTAAGCGTTGTAGAATAAGGGCCCTGCTTTTCAGTTGTCTTTGTTTTCCACTGTGTACTTATTTTTAGAGCAATGGTATATATTAAAAAAAAAATGCTAGTAATACGATCTAGCGTTGGAATATAGGGCATAATTTTCAAAAGGATGTAAGTTCCCAAAATGGGGTTGGGCACCTGGGCCAGATTCTTATGGTATGTAGCTAAGGACAGGAACCAGTATTTTATGTATCTAAACTTACATTGCAGCTGGTGAGAGTTGGTACCTAGTCATTCCTGAAAATACCACGGGTTTTCACGTGCAGCTTTAGATGTTTAGATGCATCACAGAAATCTGATCCAAAGTATCTCAGACAGTGACACATTCTGAAAATGGGAGTTTTTAATTTCCCATTTATTTCCTTTAGAGAAAAGTGCACCTCTTGCTGCGTCTTCCTCTGAAAGGCTCAGAGTTTCACAAGCGTTCACTGAGTTGGGAGGCAGGAAAGCATTAGGTTGATGCTAGCGTGTGCAAGCTGAGACATGGACAGGTATGATGAACTTGCTTTCAATCTGAGAGGTCTGTTAAACCTGGGAGGAGAATCCAGGTTTCTCTGCTCCCAATCCTGGTGCTGAGCACCAACCATCATTCACAAAGCTTCAGCCCAGTGCATGTAACGTGGTGGGGAGAGAAGGTGAAACCTGGCAGATAATCCAGACAAGTGAAAGCTGCAGGAGCCACAGTGGAGAAAGCTGCTTAATCTGATCTCAGAGCATCAAGGGAGGCTTGATTCAAGGCACAAAACCATGAGAAATTGCAGAAACCAAATCCTTTATGAAGATTTATTTAGAAAAACCACAATGCTGGGGAGTCACTGTTACATAGCGTGGTAATTCCCTTCCTCTCGAGTAATATGCACCACACTGTGCGCATGCAATTACTTTTGTTCCAGAGATAACATCGTCATCTAGAGTTATACATGTACACATACAGTCCTTAGTGCACGCTACGATTCACATATATGTTAGGACACGCACAAAGTTGAGCTTTTCCATGAAAAAACTGTATAAAAAAAATACAAACCAAACTGAGGCTGTCAACACGAGAAGCAATGTGCAAAAATAGACAAAGTTACTCCTGAATGTTTGCTTAAGAAAAAAGGACTCTTCTGTCCCTGTTCCCCATTCAGCATTGAGTGTGCCAGATGTTGCTTGAAAATAGAATTTAAAATAAGTAGTCACATGCTGCCCCCCTTCATGTTAGTTGCAGATTTTTAACCAGCTAAATAATCCTATATTAATATGAAAAATCTGCCTCCAAGCATCACCATCGTGTGCTGTTGTTGTATTGAACAGATCTTGATGTTGTTGCAATGTTTGGTTTGTGATGCTCAAGGCCAGGTGACAACCGAGCCCTGGTGTGGAGCACACAGAAGAGGCAGGACAGAGCTGTCCCTGGTCACCAAGCCCCGCTCCTGGCAGGGGCTGGCAGCAGCTGCCTGGAGAAAATGGCCCAGGATCAGGAGTTCTCACGCATGCTGGAAGGAGCCAGACCTCCCAGGTCCCCACCACGGGGTGCACAGCTCCAGGCACTGTCTGCTAATGCATGGTGGTGCTGGTGTTTGAGATGATACTCTCGAGTGCCTGAGGAATCCTCCCTTCAGAAACACGCCTGTGCAAAGAGCGTGGCAGACGAAGGGACGGTGAGCCCACGGGGCCTTCCCCAGCCAGGTACCTTGGTCCATGATGCAAGCTGTAGCTGACATGGATGGAGCCACCTGACTATATAACCACTTGTGTGGCTCTGAGCAAAGCTATATAGGATGACATGCTGCAGACATCGTGAAGCAGCCAGACCAATCCATCCTTGTAAAACTGCTGCATGCAAATACCAACACTTTAAATGGCAATTAAGACTAAAAACGGATTGCACTTATTTCCCTTAAACACATATACGCACCACCCTTTAACAAAAAAAGTAACCAATAAAAAAAAAAAAATCTTCAAAATGCATTAAAAAAAAAGATTGATAGTGGGATTCCCTTGGGTTGGATCAAAGGAAAAGAAGAAGAAAATAAGGGCAGTGTGACTCTAATCGCTGAAGTTTGTCAGCAACCACAATCTTCTGGTTTTGGGGATTGGGATTCTTCCTACCCATGAGACTTGATGCTGCAAAGCCCAGTATCCCCCTCGTAACCGCATGTTTTTTAAGGACTGTTTATTTAAGCCCATGCAGAGTTATGACTGTGTTACAGAACTTGACTTTTTTTTTTTTTTAATGGGATATCAAACTTTTTCACGGCAAATCCTGCATGGATCCAGGGAAAATCTCAGCAAGAGTCCCCTGTGTGTTATGGTTTTTACTTGCAAAGCAAAGGTTTCAGCCTTATTCCGAGGAAGGGAAGGAGGGGTGGAAATTGTAAAGACTGGGAGCTCTCCAGGGAAGTAAACTGTGGATACTGCACATCAGATCCCAGCTCAGCAGACCACTTTAGCAAACTATTTTAAGTGGGATTTAAGTGTACGTTATTCAGTTTGGACCCCAGTATGAAGACCAATATCCAACAGGAAGAGTGTCGCCTTGGACCTGCTCATTTCCATTACAAAAGGCACAGAGGGAGGGTTCATCCTGCTAGCTTGCACTCCAGCTCTGGTCACAAAAACATCGCTCAGGGAAGTATGTCAGACACGTACCGACTGCTCCTGGGGCTCCCCTGCTTTCTAACCCTGGATGCTCAGCTGCACAGTGGCTCACAGCTCTCCCCCCAGGTCAGGAGTACACTGTAGTGGCCGTGACTTCCAGCATTGTCCTGGCACCCAGATGAAGGAAGCAGTGCTTCATCCCTGTTGTCCTGAAGGAGCTCTCGGAAGAGAGGCTAGCGTTTCCCGAGTAGCAGCGCTTAGCCCCAGGTGCATTTCTGCAGCTTTTTTGAAAGCATTGGTACGTGTGACGCACCTAACCAGAGTCTCCCTTAGCTCTTACAGCATGTCTGTGTGTAACCAAAATGAACCTCTGGCTGCTAGTCAGAGGCAACTGTTGGCAGTGATAAAACAGTGGTAGAGAATAGTTTTAGACTGTAAAATATACAAAATGAAACATCAGACTGAATTCTTACTAAAACTTTGATGCTGTTGAGCATTGTGGATAGTTGCTGCTTCACAGGTGTTTTCCACTGGGTTAACATTACGTACAGCATCCGAGTTAAGGCCCTGATTTAGCAAAGCATTTGTGCATATGCTTAAATCTGCCCTTATTCAGCTAAGCACTGATGCAAATACCTAAGTGCCTTGTGATACACAGCCAAATCTGAACTGGAGCCTATACATGTAAGTTACGTAGCTGGTACAACTGCTCTCTTAATGTTTTTTCCTGGTAGCACAGCTGCTCTCCTGGATTAACTATTTAATTAATCTTCATTTAAAAGGTCCTGAGAACAGTTCTATAATACTAACAAATGTACATAAATACCAGAACTAAAAAAAGTCAAACACATGGCTCAAAGCAAAACAAATATTGCTCAGAATACTTGTTTAGATTAAGATTAACAGCTGTAAACTGTGCATTCTAGTAGCAAATAAAAACCTGTTGGCCTAGGAAAAAAACCAAAACATTTGAAGTCTACAGGGTTGGCAGCACTAGTATTACTTTACAATGTGGAGTAAGGATAACAAATATCAGTGTAACATTGCGAAATGATCCACCTAACCTAAGCTTATGTAAACAAGTAGGCTTTGACAATGTTTATACATCTAGGTGTGATCCTGCACTTGGACCTGGAGACCAAGACCCAAGAAGGTAGAAGGGTGCTGTTCCAACGCAGTTCCGGCTGCAGGAGAGAGGCTCAAGGGTGTGATTCTGCAAACCTGTACTGGCATTACTAGTTCTACGCCTGGGAGCATCTCACTGAAGGATTCAGTTCGCCAGGACTATACTTATGCAAGTAAGGATTATTCACAAACATAAGGCATTGCAGGACTTGGCCCTAAAATTTCTATTTTCAGCAGAGAATCCCTTTAGCCATACACAAGTTCATATTTTAACATACCAAAAACAATCTAAAATAAGGGTCAGTGTCACTATGTTATGCTCAGTAACACAGTTAAGATTCTGCATATTGGCTTCAGATACTGCAAAACATTTTTTGCATTAAAATCAAACCAACTATGAATCTTTCTCATAAAAATTAAATTAACTGTGAAAGTTAAAAATGAACAGGCTGCATTTTCAAGGTTAAAAGGAAACATTAACAGAAATGAGCAACTCCCATTGTAATGGTTTTCCAGTGCCTTCCCTTCTGACCAGTGAACGCTCTGAGATTGCAGTTGTTGGCAGCCTCCAATCTTGACTTGCATCCTCTATAGCATGGCTACTGCCGCTCTCCTTCCACCCGCTTTTTACGAACTAGACCGATAAAACAAGAAAAGAACAGTTAGAATGGCTTTCCTGAGAACCTAAGGACTTTTCTCACTGACACACTCCCTTGTTAGTAACATAAGAAGAAAAGAGCTTCTAAAAAATACTCAGCAGGATTATGTCCATAAATGCCATAATTAACAGATCTTGATGCTAAATAAAACAATTGTATTTAAACTGTACTTTTCTATATCTCAGGCTGTAGAATTTCACCAAATGTTCATATCAATACATTTTCTATAAAAATCAGATTCTGAGCTAAAGGTTTTAGATGATGAATTCACCACTTCCAGTGCCTCCTCCCAATGGCTCAATTTAGACTTTTGTTACAGTTTTATTGTTCTTTTCAAAGCCACTGTGTTCCAACTAAGTTGATGCTAGTCTGCTCTAGTCTGCATGACAGTATTCTGGATTATTTAAGCGTTAGGCATCAAAAATTAATAACTTTTCTAATTGCACAAGTGTCTACTATTGGTAAGCAACAATCATACCCTCTTAGAAAATAATCTGAAGTACTCCTAAGTACTGATATCAGTGAGTACTGGCAACAAGGAAAACATCATATTGGACCTTTCAGTATCTGTTTAAACTTCACATGCTCGGATCACATCAGTCATCAGATAGTACGTTAATTAATTCTGGATTTTCACTAGAAACAAAATAGGTTGAAGTTGCCATTTAGCAAAGCAGAGAGCAAGCTTTGTGTTATGGGCAGGATTATTTTGACAAGCAGTCCCATGTGAATTTTTACAGCACTTAGGATACACTACAGTTGGTATAGAGCAGGTCTAGTTGGGCAGCATTTGCTACTCCATACCATAATAAAAATGCATTGAGTCTTCTCTGATTTTGCCAGATAAGATTAGTAAGGTTCTCCTGTTCATGTGATACAAAATTTGGTGTTACATCGAACTGTCATGTCCTGTTTCTGATACTGAACTGCTGAAGTACAAAACAAAAGAAGCAAAACTGGATGAATGAAGGCTTTTCACTACCGCAAGTCAATAACAATGATATATTACTACAAACATCCTGTTATTTTACTATCAGAAGGTTTATTTCATAGTGCTTTCTTGGCAAACAGACTGCATTATTCCAAAGCCTACAGTGTAGCATCAGTCATTTGTGTCTACTTTCAGTGTTTTGTCGCTTCATTTATTTTATTTTATTGATTTTTTTAAGGTATTCTGTCCTACTAAATCTTGAACAAAACCATACAATACAAAACAAGGAAAACGAAGATTAGGTACAGGATATATGTCTAATGGCAATTGGTTAAATAGTGGAAAAAAGTCTTTCTCTCTTTGGTGGATGTTTTAAATACATTCTGGGACACTAATAGTTTCAAGAACAATAGTATATCATGGGAATACTTAACTACTGCTAAAAATTAAAACTGAAAAAAAAAAATTAAAAGTATGCGTGAAAGAAGTAGGTTCTGGCTCAACTTTTATCTTAGCTCTCACAGAGAGAAGCCCAAGCTGAAGCCAGAGAAGGCATCATGGTTTGACACTCCACTTTGTTATTAATCAATTCTACTTCACAGAGGTTTGGGGGTTTTTTTATTCTTACTGTAAACTACTCCTGCCTAGTCATCTCCTCCCTGTTCTGTGTATTGAGCACACAGGGTAGAGCATGTCACACTCAAGTAAAACTTGCAAAGCTTTATTGTCTTTGCCTGTACTTGGTCACGCAGGCAGAAAAGTCTTTTTTGTTTCCTTGGTTGGGCAGTCTTGGTCTGTCATGGGCAGGGCAAAGAAGTGAGGACTTCTGGTTCACTGAACAAACAGGATTGATTTGGCCCTCTAATTACTGGCCAGAACAGCTGACAGAGCAGCTGGAAAGCCAGGGTGCTCCATGGAAAAGGCTGAAGTAACTTCCTTTCCCAGAACAAGTGGGAAAAGAAGAATAGTGGCTCCTAATCACCTTGCTGTTGCAAATCTTTGCTGTTGTCTACTCGAGAGTCCATGGAACTGTGCATCACCCCTCACACATAGCAGATTGAATGTTGTAGAGTTAAAATTCAATCTTATGTACAGACAGGAAGAGTTGTGTCTAGGAAGGTCAGAGCTTGGCTCACATAAACAAATGATGAGTAGATTTAGTAGCATCTTACCCAGATCGTTGTTTTTAGTGATAGCTGCTGCTACCCTGGTTCTTGGACCTTGCTTTGTGAACTGGTATCCAAACTTGAGAATCTTGGAGTTCTCCTCCAGCATCTTGGCAATCTCCATCTCTACAGCTGTCCCCAGCTGTTGCCTCTGTTGGTGATGTGGTGAAATGTCCCCAAAAGAAAAGAAAATATTTGGGTTTGTATGAAAGAGAAGTAAGTGGTTATATTTCAGTCCTGTGCTGCAAACTACAAAGAGAATTCTGTCCCTAGAGATTTTGCTCTGGGTTTTATATTTGCCTTTGACCAGTTTTATTTAGAAGTTTTCCACTGTTCTGTTGCACAGGCAATGGGACATGAGCTGCAGAATGACTGAGCCATGGACGCTGTCCTGACTTTGCCAGAGCCCTCTAGGAGAACCCTCTGGGAATCCATATAGAAGGGAAACAAAAGTGGACTCACTCAATGCTCTCTCTTTACCTGGTTGTCAATTTTAATCTCTGTCAGGGAATCATTCTCTTTCAGTGCATCAATTAGTGCCAAAATACCCGTCCCAGTGATGAAGTTGGATTCTACATTCAGACTCTTCAGTGTTTTGTTCACTTTCAACATATCTGCAAATGCCTGAGGGGTCAGAAAGAGGGAATATGAGATAATGTCTTGAGAGTTTCAGGGAATAACAGAGAATCTGCAAAACATGGCTTAGTACCTACAAAGAAATAAAACACAAATAGGCTTAGAAGAACATAGAGGTAGATCAGAAGAGATTACACTTCTACTTTGCATAGTCACAGGGAAATTCTGCAAGGGAAAATGAAGAATGCATCCTAAAGCAGACATAGACCTACTTAAAAAATGTTGATTTTTTTTTTTCAAAACACTGTTTAAACTTACAATAGCTACAGGGTCATTGCTTCGAGTAGCTGCGAGGCTGAATGTCTTCACATGCGTGTTGCTTTCCAAAGCTTTTGCAAATTCTTTCAGTGTTGGAATAGGAATATTCTGCATTAAGAAGATAAATCCAGTAATTAGGAAAGCCAGTCACATTGCTAGACACTGATTTTAATTATTGTCAAACTGATTGATTAATTGCCACAGTCTACACAATTTAAGCATCCTCAATGCTTTTAAGAGTATCTCAGAATGGACAAAGCATCCTCTGCCTCTAGTGGCCTTCAGAGACCCATGGAGGCCTGCCCTAGGATGCGATGTCAGCACTGCCTTTAACTGGGTCAGGCCAACGCAAGCATGTGACCAATCTCTGAGCTACTTTCCTATTTTGCTGCTGGTTGTTCAGTATCCGTGTGCACGTTTGGGCTAATTGAATTTGGCCAGTGATGATTATATAGTGCCCATGAGATATCTTGTTTTACAATCTGCTAAGAAAGGCAGCCGGAGGGAGTCACCCCTTGGACATCTAATTCAATATCAGGCATTGATGGCCTTGGAGCCTCTACAACAGTTCCCTCCACACCCCTTGCCTGTGTGTCCTGCTTTTCCTGAACAGTAGAGACAGACAGAATTTTAAGAGAAAAGGCAAGGCCTTTGGAAATATTTGAATAAACCCTCCTGTGATGACATAAGTGAAACCACAGCATCTACCTTTATGTTGTTGAGATTAATTTCTATGAGACTAGGATCATTTGCTTTTATCCTTTGTAAACTTCCTTCCACATTGGTCGGATTAGGTGGCTCCTCAAAGATGGGCTTGACCTTTTCACCTTTCACCACATCTGCAACACAAGATCTCATGAAATGTTGATGTGAGGAACAGGCATCATCAGTAACAGTCTGGCTTTTCAATTCCCATTTAGGTTCGTTCTGTAGCATTCAAGAAAGGGTTTATATGAACCACAAAACTTGGAAATAGGAGACTTAGCCCCGTTATCCCTGCCACACCCTTTGCACCTTCTGTGCACCCAGAAGCATGTCACTGGAGGCTGCAGTCATAGTGGCTGGGCAGTATCCTCACGGGCAAATTCCTCCTTTCTGTACAGAAGTCCCAGTACAATTAATTCGAGCCAAAGCAGCTTTAAAGACTATTGTATAGGATGTAATATACTGCAAGGGCTGCTTTGTTCTTTGTCTAACACCTGTAAAGGAAGGTGTGCTCAGAACTTGCTCATTACATTAGTGAGAAAAGGTCCCTGCACCTATGTACAGACTTTGCGAACATAAAGGAGCACGATCAGGAGGCCCCTCAGTTTCCTTCTTTAGGCTGATGCTATCAGCTTTCCTATAAATTCAATTAGGTCTTGTAAAATGCAACATCTGCGCTTTCTAAATAATAAAGCTATCAAAGCACGAAAAGCAAGTCCGTCTGCCAGCACCAAGATTTATGAAGTCTTTGAGTATTCGTGCTCCAGAGAGACACAATTTTTAATGTTGGCAGCTATGAGCCATAAATATTCTTAGAGATGCATAAAAATCATAGCTTAGAACACAATTAGTATTTCTAATTCTCACGCACATAGTTGTGGAGATTAATTTATAAGCCCTGACCACCCAAGCCACTAGAGGCAAGAAAGGAATACGTTACTGACCACAAGCATGTTTAAACCCTTTTATTTCATGTTGCAGACAGTGAGTTATTTTGAAGGCTTGTGCTTGTCTCAATGCACTACGCATTTCTGTTCAGTGCAATGGGTAAAGTTCATGCCGTATCATGGGCCAAAAGAAAAATATTTTTTAATACTCATACTCTTAGTAGAGATGAAGTCATACATAAACCTTGAGCTGGTTTTCACTCTGCTCCCTTTTACCCCAAACTTTTTTTTTTTTTTTACTTATTCCCTGAGAGACCTCACATATGCCTGAATAGCACTCCAGCCTTCCTAGGGAGTAGGAAATTGAAAACTACTGGTAAAATGCATACAGAGAATTCACACTATCTTGAAGGCAAGGTTGGAAAGTAAACAAAAAACAGCAAAGCATTTTTTGTGCTTGTGGCAACAGCCTGCCAAGCTGGGAGCTA